CTTCTTCTTCTTCTTCTTCTTCTTCTTCTTCTTCTTCTTCTTCTTCTGCTGCTGCTGCTTCTCCTTCCCCTTCCCCTTCCCCTTTTCCTTTCCCTCCTCCTCCTCCTTCTCTCTCTCTCTCTCTCTCTCTCTCTCTCTCTCTCTCTCTCTCTCTTCTCACTCTCTCTTTTCTTTTTTTTAAAGATGCAATATATGCCCTGACCATTATACTTTTAGAAACTCTGTTAAGATGTTGGGTGTAATTCTGATAGTTCTGCCTTTGTATGTTACTTGGCCTTTGTCCTTTGCTGCTTTTAATATTCTGTCTTTTTTCTGTAGATTTTTATTTTGATTATTATTTGATGAGAGGGATTTTTTTTGTCCTGTCTAATTGGTATTGTGTAAACTTCTTGTACCTTTATAAGTTTGTCCTACTTTAGGTTAGTAAATTTTTCTTCTATGATTTCATCAAAAATATTTCTTGGCTTTAGAGCTTAGAATCTTCTCCTTTTATTTTCACTATTCTTGGGTTTAGTCTTTTCATAATGTCCGAGATTTCCTTGATGCTTTGTGTCAGAAATATTTTAGATTTAATTTTTTTGACAAACCTATTACTTCTAATGTAACTTGAATATCTGAGGTTCTCTCTTCTATCGCTTGTATTCTGTTGGTGATCCTAGTTCTTTTCATTTCCAGAATTTCCTGTTTGTGTTTTTCACTTAGTGCTTCAATTCAATTTCATGTCTTGAATTGTTGAATTTATTTCCTTCAATTGTTTGACTTTCTCTCTGATTTCTTTGAGGTTTATTTATATCATCCAATTGTTTATGTTTTCCTGGGTTTCTTTGAGTAATTTATTAATTTCATCCATTTTTTGTATGTTTTCCTTGATTTCGTTTAATGATTTATTTATTTATTTTAGTGATTCCTTGATTTCTTTATCACTAAAAGAGATCTTTCCTCTTTAAAGATCTCTATCATCTTCATAAAGTTGGTTTTAATGATGCATTCTTGTTCTTCAGCTGTACTTGAATATTGAGGGTTTGCTATAGTAGGATAGCTGGGCTCTGGTGCTGACATGCTGCCCTGCATGTTATGATTATGTTCTTGAACTTGTGTCTAGGCATCTGAGTTTGTGTTGATAATTGGTCTAGGTACCAATTTCTAAGTTGTCTTTTGACTTGTTTTATTTCTTTTTGTTTGTTTGTTTGTTTAAGTTTTTTTTTTCTGAGAGTAGTTTTTTTTTCTTGGTTTCAATTTCCTCTCTAGTATTCTAGCCAGAGTAGACTCTGGTTGAGCAGAGACTCTCTGTTTGAGTTGTTCAATAGACTTCTGATGGCCAGGATAGCACATATAAATGACTTTAGCAAGATCAAGACATCATAGAGCAATAATGTAAACAAAAAAGAAGAGGAAGAAAATGAAATATTTTACACATGTCAATTCTCAATCTTAGCAAGATTTCACTCACTTCCTCTTTGACCAAGTACTTCTCAATAACAAAGTTCAAGATTTAGCAAAGGGAAACATTTGAGGAAATGTTTCATCGACTGGAAGCTGAAACTTCAGGCTTAACAAAATGGAGTGATGAAAGTGATATTTTTTTCTTTCAGAAAAAGATCTTCACCAAATATACAGGCATGTGATAGAGAGTTATGGGGATGGCATCTTGTCAATAGATGATATATGTATGCTTATGTACCCCAGCCTTTCATTGACATGCAGTATGAAGGACAGGCTTGACCAAAACTTAGGTAGTTTTTGGTTTTGTTTTTGTTTTTTTTTTTAACTTAAGGAACTAAGTACCACACTTCTGATGAGTGGAGATAATTCTGTGAAACAAAATATGTTATAGAAAGCATATACAGTATTTTCTAGGTTTCCGTTTTTAAAGTAGGGGAGGTAGGTCCCTTTAACAGAGTCTGTTACATAAGCACATTCTTTCTGGTAGAATCTTGGGTGAATGATAAGATTCTGTCAGAACTAAGGAAGCTCAAAGACACAAGTGCTCCTGAGAAAGGTTTGTTGGTGATACTTCACTAAGGGAGGATTTAGAAATATCAGTGCCTTCTCCCCCAGTAATCCTAATGACTTTGGAACCTCTCTTAGCCTCTGCCATTCACTAAAGCCCAGTAATATGTTCTCTTATGATTTTTCAGAATTGTGACCACAGACAAAATTCCTGGCCAAGGTATCAAGGAAGAGTTACTTCTGGCCAGAATAAAAAAGCTGAGGTCTATACAAGGATGTGGCCTAGCGAAGCAAGGCCAGAGATCAATATGGACTACAAAGTTCATAGAGTAAAAGTCTATGTCATGGTGGAAGACAAACAGTGGAAAGACATAGGTACAGGACAAATCTCATCCAGATACATTGAACGGCTCCACGGTATGTGCCTGCTTGTTCACTCAGAACTAGATGGCTCACCAATTATGGAGTGCAAGATACTTCCTAACGTGCCCTATCAGAAACATCAAGAGGGGGCAATCATTTGGTCTGAAGCTAAGAACCACGGTATGGCAATACATTTCCAGACACCAAACAGTTGTCAAGAGATCTGGGAAGTTATCTGCAAAGTTCAAGGTAAAGATCCAAGTGTAGAAGTCACACAAGAACTTACTGATGATCTGGAAACTTTTGATGAACTGCCACCAATCAGGAATCTGATAGAGATGTCAAACTGTGAACTCCATAGCCTTCAAAAGATTGCAAATTTATTTCCTCGTGTTGATAAAATGCCAAGCCAGAAAGAAATGTTGGTACTGGTCTTGGAAAATAAAGGTTATATTAAAAAATTGCTACAGCTGTTCAAAACTTGTGAAAAGCATCAGAACATGGAAGGCTTACACTATTTGAATAGCATTGTTAAAGGAATCCTGTTTCTAAATGATGCACGCTTGTTTAAGATCATGTTTTCTGATGAATTCATCATGGATGTGATAGGATGCCTTGAACATGGCCCTGGTTTAGATCAGCCAAAGAAGTACAGGGAATTCTTGACTCAAAATGCCAAATTCAAGGAAGTTCTGCCAATAATACACTCACAACTTAGGCAAAAAATACACCAGACCTATAGAATGCAATATGTTCATGATATTATGTTGCCCACTCCATCCATATTTGAAGCAAATCATCTTTCTAATCTCACTGCCATGATTTTTTTCAATAAAATTGAAATAGTTACCATGCTGCAGAAAGATAAAAAATTTTTGCTTCAAGTTTTTGCTCAGCTAAAAGATAACGCTGTAAGTGATGAAAGACGGCATGAATTGTTATTATTCTTCAAGGAATTCTGTGCATTTGTTAAGAAATTACAGTCTCATAAGAAAAATGCATTACTTAAATCACTGATAAAGCTTGGAATCATGAATGCACTGAAAGTTGTAGTATGCATACATAATTACCAAATACAAGTAGCTGCTCTGGAAATATTTGCTGATCTAGTAAAATATAGTCCGTGCCAAGTTCGAGCTTATGCAATGAAAGAAGCTCATGACAGAGAAGATAATGATGAGCTTATCATTAATGTAATGATTGAACAAATGATCTGTGATACTAATCCTGAATTTTCATTAGGCATAATTTTGACAACAGTTCTGCATACTCTTCTTAATCCAGAAAATATGCGTGTCAAAGCTAAGAGATGTGAAAGAAGGAAATTTCTCAATTTCTTCTATACACGTTGCATGAGTAACTTCATAGCACCAATTTTGTCCATTAGAGTAGAAAATGATAGCGACAATAATAGGGCTAACATCTGCCCTGATGATTATCAAAATGCACAATTGCTTGGAGCAGTTTTAGAATTACTCACATTTTGTGTACAATGCCACTCAATGTACTTAAAAAGTTGTATTTTGAGTAACAACTTGCTCAGCAGAATCTTGGTGCTGATGAATTCAAAGCACACTTTTCTAATTTTGAGTGCTGTCAGGTTTATGAGAAAGATGATTGGCCTTAAAGATGAAATTTACAATCTTTACATAATTAAGAAAAATCTTTTTGAACCAGTTGTAAATGCTTTTGTGCATAATGGACCTCGGTACAATATGTTAAATTCAGCTATTATTGAACTATTTGAATTTATAAGAGAAGAAAATATCAAGTCTCTTATTGCAGACATTGTGGAAAATTTTTTTATGGCTTTTGAATCAATTGAGTATGTCCAGACATTTAAAGGGTTGAAGACTAAATATGAAGAGGAGAAGAAAAGAGAACATCAAATAAGAAGACATTTACATAAAATAATCTACCCAAAAATATATTGTCGACGTATCAAAGTTAAAAAGGTAAAAATAAAGGAAGACATATGTTGTAGAGGAATCACAGAAGAAGATGCTATTCTACCAATGGAAAATGACCTTCCAAGTCGTTATGACTTATTTATGAAAATTAAAGAAACAAATAAAAGGAAAAATGAAAGAGAACACTGCAAAAGAAAATCATCTGAAGCCTCTAAATGTTGTCCATCTCATGGTGATACTTCTGCTAACAGAATGAGTAGGTCATACTGTAACAGCCTGGTTACTTTAGTGGATTATCCATGTGATACTGATGGAGAGAATGACAATGATCCTTATAGTAATGAAAATGAAAATGAAGAGAAAGATGAAGACGAAGAACCCCCTAAAAAAAGACCTACTCTTAGTTCATAAAATTATATGAGGCCCTCAATCTCTAATTCAATTAAAATTCTATAAATATCACAAACTGAAAAATCCAACTTAAAAAAAATCTTTCTCCAATGAACATTTAGGTATGGTAGAAAGGGGAAGAAAATAATGAATAAAAGGCCTCAATTTTATATAAAGAAAACCTCCCACAAAATAGATACATAGTATAAAATTAACAGCAACTGAGTCATAACTTCGAATCAAGAATATGTTACTTTAGCAATATAGTTTGGGAGGAAAGAGTTTGATAAAGTAATACAATTTTTACTAAGGTCTTTATAATAGAATTGACTATACAAAGGTTTTATTGCAAAGCCTACTTTCTAAAATGGTCTAGCACTGACATCCTTTACATAAATTGAATTTTGTTTAAAGCATCATTTGCTTATATGGAAGATAATGTCATTTTAAAGTAAAACTAAAGTGATACTTTCAGCATTTTTGTGAAGATTTAAAAGAACTCCTACATTATTATGAATATTAATAGGGGAACAACATTCAGTACATTTTAGTCCATATTTTCATGAATAAAATGCTATGCTAGATCCTAAACGAGATATTGTTGATGTAGTCCTTTTGTAGATAAGAAATATCAACTATTAGCATCAATATAGTATTATTTGTAATGTGGTTTCTGAATGATTTTCAGGGGATAAAATATGATGCATCAAATATGCAGTTTGTGAAAGTTAATGAAGCTTTGTACTTTTCCTAGCAGTAATAGTTAAATACTTGAATAAATACACACACACACACACACACACACACATGCACACACACACACACACACATGCACACACATGCACA